CACTGACAGGTGCCATGATAACTAGATAATCAGTGTTATTCACTTCACCTGTCAGTGCTAATGCTACTGCTGATCGGTGTAGGAGTTTCCTGTTTCGTTGAACAAAAAAAAAAAGGAACAAATAGTCAAACCTTCGTATCGAACAGCCAAATCCGATTGTACTGACAAAATTCTGAGCGTAAACTAGCAAACTAACTGCTACCTGTTTGAAAATTACACAATGTCACTACCTAGATTCACTAGTCTCTTGTGAAAGGCAAAAAGACTTCAAAATCTCTGTGCTTTAGCTTTAGCTGACAAGCTGATTGACAGCTACCATGTCAAAATAGTAATTTCATGAAAAGAAGTTTAACAAAGATCTCATTTCCTGCTCAATATCTTTTATCTTCCATGCTATCAAGCTAACTGCTAAGTAGCCAGTTTGATAATTGCATGATGCAACCAACTATGCTGACTACTTTGTTGGTCTTTTGAGCAGCAAAAAGACTTTATTTTGTTTGTTTTCTTGAAAAATTGGCTGAGCGTAAACAGTTTGTAGTTTAGGCGACTCACAGAATGAATGTTGATTAGCTACAGCTGTGCTTGTAGCTAATCAAGGTTGTATTTATAGGCAGCGAAATTAAAAATTACCAACTTTCCGTGTTTCTGATTGTGGCATATGGGATGAACTCTTGCAAATCATGATTTAGATGTAAAAGAGATAAATCTTGTAGCTCGGTTAATGGGATTATTCATCTTGCAGCGCCTTACATCAGTTAATAGATGTCTTATTTTTAACCTTGAAATGACATCACATCTGCTTTACTGATCAGTTATATTTTTGAGTTGTAATAATTCATTTTCTATCTTCTTATTTTGACCGTTTGCAGTTTAAGAGCATTATGTTGTTGTTAGTCACTTTTTAATTAGCCTTAAATTAAATTCCAGGCAGAATGAATTGGACTCGAGGTTAAAAAATAATTAAATTCCTGTTGTATGTGTTATTACTCCTCAGTACTTCCCATAAGTTGTGTCTGATATCAAATTGGCTGTTTTTTTTCTCCTGCTTTGTTTTTTAATTTTATCTCAAATTTATTCCAGGTAGTATTCATTTGTCTTTGTGAAACATGCAGCATGCTCTTCTTGCTTGCTTTTTCTTTATCTCCCTCCTTCCTTCCTTCTGTTCCTTCCTTTTCCTCCTTACTCCACACATCCTTGTTTTGCCCTTCTCCTTTTCTGTCTCTCCCCCACCTCCTTCCCCACTTTGCCTGTTCCCCCCTCCCCCCACCGAGCAATTCCATCTCTCTCCCAGCAAACAAAGGGAGCTAATGACATGCTGACACCGAGCCCGATGATTGAATTCATTAGGCGTGCACAATAATTGCCAGGCGTGAGCGTGCACGCACCCATCTATTCAGAGGACAGCTGTCAAATAACAAGCAAGAGAGAATAGCTTTTTATTGTTGAGCTGGAAGAGAGAGGGAGAGTGAATATAGAGAAGGAGCGAGAGAAGCACCTGTTGTGGAGGGGAAGAGAGAGAGAGAGAGAGAGAGAGAGCGCACTCAGCATGTCAATTAGGCTGCTGTGTTCATGCAGGGTTACTGGGAAGTTTACTGCCTGTTTGACGCACTTGGCATCACGATACAGGTGCATGGCGTGTCAGATTTATTCTTTAGGTAGCGTGCGTGCTTAAAAACTTGTTAAGTGAGGACAGTTTCAGTTGTAGAAATATAAAGATCACAATTAGGTTTTACTTGAGTTAAGGGCTGAAATAAGTTTACTTAACATCAAAACTATGAAAGGTCAGGGATGTTTGTTTGCCTGAGGAGAAAAGCTACTGTACAGTTAATGAAATGTGAACCACCACCTCTGTGGCATTTTTAATCCGACTGCAATCCATACATTTGTTCATATTAAATTGTTTTGTACTTTTCTTGTGAATTTTTGTTTGTGCTGTTGTTATATCAAATGAATAGGTTATGGTAATCATTTAACACCTGATATGAGTAACATTAATGGATGTTGTGTTACCTGCAGCTGCTTCACAGTGAACTGCATTTGCTTTGCTTTATGCCTTGCTTTTTTCCGTGTGGCTGGAAAGCTCTGATTGCACAGAAGTGTTTAGTCAGTCAAGAATGTTATAGCCACTCTCTGTGGTTTGCATATTGTTGAAATTCATATTGAAACCCTGCACAATTACTCCAGTATTAATGAATTAATTCTGATCGCTAGACCCGAAACGGGCTAGTGTTATGTTATTTCTGATTGGTGGAGCTGGCTACAGTCTCAACTGGGGAGACGGGGCTACAGTGGAGCTGCAAAAAGTCTCAGGTTTTGATGAAAATTAGCTTCAGGCTATGCATCAGACACAAACAACATAGACTGTATCTGTTTCATATGTAGATTAGGAGCTTCACATATTAATGCATTACTTTTGATCTTTGCAATCTCAGTCTTCATCAGCCTGCGTTACTTTGACTGATTTCCAGTACACATTCACAATCTCTGATTCATCAACACTGAAAACTGAGGCCAACAACACAAAATCACTTTCTAATTTGAGCCTGATTCTTTCCTAAAAGTTTCAAAGAACCACCAATATCCTTCACTATAGACCAGCATTATTCCTCGATTCTGGAAACTAAGACCCTGCCTGCTTATACTAAATACCTGATTTAACACTTAAGAGCGCTGGTCTGTTTAACACTAATAAATCTGATGTAGCTAATGAGCTTGCACTCTGATTTACCTCTGTGCTATCCGCCCGGCTGCAATTTATATGCAAGTACTTTTCATTAACCTCAAGTGGCCAAATGAATGTCCTTTTAACTTTGGCCCTTCGGCTAACCCACAGGAACACAGTGATCGCTTGCAAAGCTGAAGGGGCTTTTGTGTTACTGCTTTAGGCTGGAATAAATGCATGAATGTTTTTGTGTTGTATAATTAAATGTACATTATGGTATATGAGCATTTAACTGTATTTAAATGTGAGCTGTATGTTGGTTGACTGTGTAGACTGCTGCTGCTGCCGGTTAGGTTGCTAATTATGCTATTTTATGTTAGGAAGTCTAGAGTCTAAATCTGTCTCTCTCCCTCTCTCTCTTTGTTCCCCCTCTTACAGAAGACTGAGGAGGACGATCTGGTCCTCACTCCAGATGGGACCAGAGAGTTCCTGACCTTTGAGATCCCCCTCAGTGACTCGGGTTCGGCTGGGTTGGGTGTCAGCGTCAAAGGCAATCGCTCCAAGGAGAACCACGCTGACCTGGGCATCTTCGTCAAATCGATCATTAATGGAGGGGCGGCCTGCAAGGTAAAATATGTAATTGTGTGGCATCTTTTCCCTATTAGCTAGCTGCTATAGGTAAGATGATATCATTGTATGAATACATGTTGTGTATAAATTTCTATGTATAGGTATCTTATTCTTATTGTTTCTCTCGGTTGGCAGAAGCAGAACTAGATGTTTTGATTATGTATTAATTAATTTCTATTATGAACATATTACGTATTTATGTTTGACCTGATGTAACTAGTGAGCTGATGCTCTTACACTGTCATACTGACACCAGGTCAGTGTGGCCTGCACATAAAGAGAAACTCACACACTTAAAGTGATGTTTCTGTTCCTCAGCAATGAAGAAAATCTCCATCTGTGATAAAATCTATTAACACATAGTTCAGCTTTTTTCTCTCACTGTCCGTAGCGCTGTGCTCATTTGCAATAGTCTTTCAACTTGATTGTTTTTCATATAAACACGCTTGTGTTGACAGAACATGATAATGGAGTTAAAAGCACACTCTCTGTTAGAGATTCAATCATGACTAGAAACTGGATACACTGTGAGTGAGAGTGTTTGATTAGATAAAGGTTGTTGTTAAATTAGAGATATGGCTTCTTATCTATCACACAGCATGTACTGTTTGGTAGTTGGAAAAACACGATCTCTTTTTGTGCTTTTACAAGCTCAAACACCAAAAGAGAATTTACATTTTTTTTTATGTTTGATTTCTTCTTCACCAACAGGACGGGCGGCTTCGAGTGAACGACCAGTTGATTGCTGTCAATGGAGAGTCCCTGTTGGGCAAAACCAACCAGGACGCCATGGAGACGCTACGCAAGTCCATGTCAACAGAAGGAAACAAACGTGGGATGATCCAGCTGATTGTGGCCAGACGAGTGGCCAAAAGAAATGAGGTAAGGGACAAGGTGACAGGCGGATTGGGTTGAGACGAGGGGGGGTTGTCATTTGAGTAGAGACAGAATTGTGGATATGTCTGATAAGGACAAAGCTGCCAATGAATATCTAAATAATATGAATGCAATATATTAATACTGTGAAAAATAAATTGCCATTAAAACAGATTTTGTACAGATCACCTCACATGATCAGTGTCATAGTTTGAGTCTGCATGATTTAAAAAAAAAAAAAACATTACAGAACTACTAACTCTGCCTAATGGAACCCATCGTAAAGATGTGTCAGAATGTTCTCAAAAAGTAAAACATTGACACCATTATGAAAATAAAACCCCAGTACTCGCTCTTATTTTAACTGAGGTCAGTATGGAAATATTGTAGCGCGTGTATACATAATGATTCATTCTTTTATTTACCCTGACCGAGCATATATGACCTTTCGCAGCAGCAGCCTGCTTCACACTCAAGTTTCACACGTTCACACCTCAGAGCTGCCTGTTACAGCTGCACTACTGTACTGTTGACTGTTGACCCCCTGAGCAATTCCAGTGGAAAAAACTGGAATTGCCCAACAAATGTCAACATTTGTTACCGAGTAAATGGGGGGGTTGCTTTCATTTACAGTTACTGCCCAGATTGTTCTTTACCAGCTGATTGCAGTTCAGTCAAAAGTAAAAAACAAACGTGTGTTTGAAAGCCTATTTTAGGATTGCCATTACATGTGACATATTTAATTTAATTTAATAACTTTGATCAGATTATGAAGATTTGGGCTGACTGTGATCCCATTTCAGATCAAAGTGGTTGTAATTATAGTGTTTCCCTGATTAAAAAAAATAATGAACTCATGACAGTGCTGTCCTAAATAAAGACACTTGTGTGGACACGGAGCACCTCTTCAATAAGACCCGCTCTGTGATAAATGCACTACACAACCCAAAGCAAACCGCTGGGAAATACCCTCATGAGCAGCAATGAATCGTCTCATAAAATAAAAGTAAGTAGTTTGGTCATAGTAGTTCACCCACCCCTCCCACGCACACTCACCTCCCTTGAGGCAGCTGGAGAGATTTTTTTTTTCTTTTTTTTTATAAAAACATGGCTGCAAACGGAGCTACACATTTTTTTTTCCCCCTCCCTTCAATGTCATGTTTTTACATTCTCTGTACACCTTGGCCTGTCGCCTGCTTGAAAGCCGAGGCTGAGTCTGTGTGCACCACTGCTGTGTGTCTGCGTATGGGCGCGCACGTATGTGTGCACGTGTACGCCTCTGGCACTGCCTGGCTTCCCTGCTCTCCTTTTCCAACCTGGTGTGTCAAAGTTTTGATTTCCCCTCGGCCCGTCTGGTAATTGAAAGCAGAGGCTAAGCCTGGAGGTGTGTTTTGTGTTTGTGTGTCTCTGTGTGTGTACATGCACAGGTCTTTGTGTCTGCGTGCATATGAGTGTGTGCATATGAGTGTGTAGTTTGTGCGTATGTATATCCTGCTTATGCATGCATGCATTTATTTTCAAGGATCTTTCAGTGTGTTCGTTTGCAAACAGATACCCTGTGTGTGTGTGTGTG